ATTCCTGAAAGCTGGGAAAAAACGGGTAAAAGCAGAGTTGCTGCAGTGCTAAAGTATCAGGATAAACAAGGGAAAAAGCTCAGCTTGACTGACAAAAAACTCCTAATGAACATGTTTCTCTGAAAACACTGCCAAAAGCTATGGAGGGACTGTAAGGTGCAGAGGTGTTCCTGCAGGGGGTGTTGATAAAGATGATAACTGGAGAGGATGAATGAGAGCAAGAGGTGCCTGACCTCAGAGGTATTTGGCAAAACACAAGCTAGGTGAAAGTTTATCTTCCCAGGATCTCTGGCGCTGCCTTGACAGGGTAGCCGAGTTAGTGAGGACTGTGGATGGATGGTGGAATTGGTGGAGGGGTAGAAGGAAGCTGCCATATGTCCCGGTGCCCTTCTTTTTGTTGCATCTTAGAGATGCAAATATAACACGGAGAAGGCTTTGTGTCAAGCTGCTTACGCTGTATTTGCAGAAGTGACTTAAAACGTCTGGTGTGACTCAAGTTCCTAAATGCCTCCGTGAACGTGGGCTTGGGAACTTGTGTCACTTATTTCATTCAGGGGGAGCAGCCTCCTGAAGCTAGTAAGTTGGATCTCAAAGAGAGAAGAGCTTTTATTTAAATTAAAATGTGGAAAAAGCTACAATTACTCTGAAGAGATGGAGGGTATTCAGGCTAATAATTTAGAATGCTTAAATTATGTGTCAAGGCTCCCTGGCACTGTAAGGAGCTGGAGACACCTGAAGCTTAAATGGTACAAATACCCCCTTCTGCAATGGGAGCTTGCTGAAAGCTGCACTTAAATGTTTTTGCTTGCTACAGCAAGTGCATTTATATTGCAGAGGAGCAGCTCTATGGATTTCTCAGGTGTCTGGGTTACATAACTAGCTAATAAATGATTAATCTACATAGCAATGTGTATTTTTATTTGAAAGCTGTAATACGGCGTCATGCTGGTGGGGTTCAGGGCTTCTCCGGCTGTTGCTGGGTACTAATAGCCCATCTCCTCTGGCAAAACATTTGGCTTTGCAACCTGCTACAAAGCAATTATTTGCTCTAAAATGCTCTGTAGTTTTGGCACGGTTTACCTGCGTTCTTCCATTTTGCTAAACTTGGGATGAAAATCTAAGCTCTGCCCTGTGTGATATCCATGGTTTTAATTGTTCGGACTCTGTGTAATTTGGCCAGACTCTATGGAAATAAGACTCCAGCTCTTCTGAGACATCAGCAGATCAGTGTTTAAATTGGCAAACCTCTTTTTAATAAATGTGAAATTATGCTGATCCTAAATCCTCATAAAGGTGCTGGAAGCTTGGTCAGGTCTAACGCTGTAATTTCTCTCAGCGAAGATTGCTGACTTTGGTTTGATGCACACTTGCTGTATTTTTAATTATCTTAAAACACTGTTAAACTCTAGAAAGCAGCAGTAGGTGACTTCTTTTCCTTTTTCCTTTCACTCCCACCCAAGGAGCTGGTTGCAGAAAAGGAGAGAAACGGCTTGCTTACAGCGAAAATGCGAGAGCGCATCAACACGCTAGAAAAGGAGCACGGCACTTTTCAGAGTAAAATACACGTTAGCTATCAAGAATCTCAGCAGATGAAGATAAAGGTAAATGCTTTACCCAAACCGTTCGAGTTGGTATTCATGCACAAGCAGATCGGTGCTGAGAAACCTTTGCTTTAGCCAGGGTGCAGCGTTTGTTGTCTGCTCAGACAGAAATTGGCTTTACTAGTTACCCTGAGCCTTGAACGCAGTGTGCTGGTAGCTGGTGGTATAACACATCTGCGTGAGCACGGGGAACTTTGTGGCAGTTTCCTGACATAAAAGAAAGACGAGACGTTCTCACGGGTGACTTTTGTAGTCTGCAAAAGACCAGTGCTAGCTAGGCATCTGATCTTAGTTAATTTGCTTCGTGGTCTTCTGCTGAAATGTTACTCAAAGTGTAAAATCTAACTGAAATACTCAACTTCAGAGAGCCACTAATGCTGATGATCACTTACTAGCTGATAAATCTCATTTTTTAAAATTATAGTACAGAGTGACACCATAGCAAGAAACATCATTGCATGGGAGAATGCTTTGCTGAAAATATTTGAAGGGCAGACGCTTGCATTTTTTTAAGACCCTTGTTACTCTCTCCTGAAGTGGCATTACAACGGAGTGACTTCAGAAGAGTTTGTTTCATCAGATTAAAAAGTTTGACTTAAAGTTTTCTAAGAAAAATGGCCCCTCTTATACCAACTTGACTGGTGCTTAGATTTGACATTCTGGGTTTTTTTTCTGTATAAATGTCACAGCATCAAGCCCAGCATGCGAAGTTTCCAGCTTTAGTACTGTATTTTCTGTCTTGGCACTTTAGAGAGTAGCATCTCTGCTGTTTTGGAGCAGAACTACGTTCTCCAGAGCAGAGACAGGTTCCTTTGAACCTATACAGACAACTGCATGATGAGAGGGTCTTACTGCTGGCTGGGGAGGGTGAAGGAGCTCTGGGCATGACTGGGTGGCTTTTGCAAACGCTGCTGCGGCAGGCAGAGCTGGAGGAAGGATGCGCAGAGGAACCGGTGCTCTGGTTCTGCTCCCCCTGCTGATGTGCTGTAGCGTTGCAGAGATGCTGAAACTTCATTCTCCAAGCTTCCAGTTATATGGGGCTTGTGCCCTTGCTTCTGTTGGGATCTTCTGTATCTGTTGGCATGAAAAGAAAAGGGGGAGGAACCAAGAGAACCCCCTAACAAACATCCAAGGACCAGCTTGTTGGATGTGTTGGTGCTGAATTGGAGGCGGCTGCCCTGCAGGGACTGCTATCTCCTGCTGTGGTTGTTACGCAAACATTTGTTTGGAATTTTTTTTATATACAAAATCATTGTTGAGTCAGCCATTTGATGAAACTGGGTCTTGGAAATGGTGTCAACCATATCTACAAACTGGTACTGGTTGAGAAAGAAAGTATTGTAACTGTATGTGCTTGAGGATTTTCAAAGGAGGCTGTTGGGCTGTAAGACCAGCTGTGCTGTTGTCTGCATATGCAGAGTCCATATTTTTTCCTTTGAATCCTGTCTTTTGATTTTGTTCACGCTATTCTGAAGCAGCCTTAGGTTATTAGGGCTTCTCTCTGCCTTAGTTTCAAACCGTGCTGGAAATGCAGTCGAAGCATATTATTGCCTAAATAAAGGATCTATTTCACAATCTTGACTTTGGGATATTAGATGAGAACTATTCTTTTACAATTTACATGCTATCCTCTGTGTATTGTTAGTTATTTTATACTTTTTCTGCTTTGTTTAAAGGCTTTGTAAACTTCTGGTGTTAATTCACAGTGCATTTGTTTTATTTCCCTTTGGAAAAGTAATGTATTGCTATCCAGTTATTGAAAAGTATCTAAAGTTATGCAGCTGAGCAATCGGTATCCTAAGTAATGCTTGTGTAGTCTTTTAAACAAACAACCAAAAAAGGTTGCCTTGATAAATAGGTTGATACACTGGTATAAAAGGAATCTGGTGCCTTTCCTTGAGCAAGAGGGTCTGAGTTGCGCAGTTTAATTTAAGAGTGGGGGTGTGAGGAAGGACGTAAAGCTGCCCCTCTCCCAAAAAATCCCCTTAGTTTTATTTACTTAACGGTAGGTAAGATATCACAATAGTTTAAGTTGCAGGGTTTTTTATTTCTCCTTAGTTTAATCTTTTTTGATCTTTTCTTCCCCCTCAGTTCCAGCAACTCCGTGAGCAGATGGAGGCAGAAATAAGCCACCTGAAGCAGGAAAACGGTATCCTGAGAGATGCTGTCAGTACTTCTACCAATCAAATGGAGAGCAAGTATGTTTGCAGCTACTCGGGGCTCTGTGTGGTTTTAAGCCTTCCCTGAAGAGTTGTTCTGGCTTCTGCTCCTTTTGTTTCTATCTCCTCGGCTGTCTCTGTGGTTCAGCTAGGAACACAGTTATTTGGAGCTGGGGAGGTAGCTATTTGTATTTGCATTGAGCCAAGGCTTTCAAAACAGATTACTGTCTTTTATCAATTTGAAGCCTGAGCTTTTAGAGAGTGAGTGCTGAGGCTTTAACAGAGAGAAGTGCAGAAGTGATCGGCCACAGTTGGTGATTTTGGCAGGGTATGTATCCTTTCCCTTGCGGCTTTAGGAGAGGTGCTGATGCTGGACTCTGGGAGAACAACAGCTCTAAACTTATAAATCAGTCTTGCAATAAGAAAAAAATATCAACACCTTGCAGTTAATGATAGCACTGGGGCGGCAATTGGATTTACCTGCTGGTGTTGTAAATGTTTGGAGAAACAAAAAGGCATCTCAAGGTTTTGTCTTTTGTGAGTTATGACTTAAGCCGCCCCTGAGCTGGCAGAGCGGATTGTAGATATTGTGGTAGAAGCTGAGCACCCCGGTAAGGTGTATAGTCAGATGGGTGAATTGCTGCCAGTGGGATTCTGCCCGTAGAAAGCAAAACCGCCACTTTATATGATCTCAGATATTTGTTACTGTAGGAGACTAGAATGTCAAAACTGCTGTCGGGGCTTGGAAAGGGCTAAGGGCTCAGTATCTTCCTTCTCTGGCTATGCTGTTCTTGCAGAGATGCTGCTTCTATAAGGAGGACCTTTCTGTTAACAGCTTCCCCGCGGCAAAGCGCAGCTTGGCAGAGACGCGTTCTGCTCCCTGCCTGTGTCTTGCCAGGGCAGGACGACATGATGAGTGCTTGGAGAAGGGTACCGGTACCCTGATTTTAGGTGTCCTGTTTGTAGAAATGAAGCATCGTTATCTCTTAGTTATCTTGAAAAATCCTTAATTCAGGCAAATTTAAGGTAAAAATAAAATGCTTTTTATTTGCTTAGACACAAAGGGGAGCCTTTTAAAATTCTTCCCTTGGGCTATACAAATGCATCCTCTCTCCCTAAGTGAGAGAGTACATCAGATGCCTTCATAAGTTAATAGATAAGTCAAGGCCAGGAGGCAACGTATAGTCCGAAGAGATGCATGCAGTTAGTAGTCCAGGAGGAATAGGCTTGAGTAAGTGTGAGATCAATAATCCTTTATGGGAAAAGGAAAGGAATGTGAATTTTGGTGTGAGACCTTTCCTTATGCTGAGCCTCTCTAGTTTATATAAACCTGTCCAAATTATGCCCACCAGCTTGCAAACCTTGAAAAGGAACTGCTGCCTGGGGCTTAATCCTGACCTTTTGTTTCTTACTCAGTGGGTTGTAGCTGCTGTGCTGATGGCCAAGAGTACCTGGCTCTCATCCCTTTCCTAGGATGAAGTGGTGTGGAAAAAAAACCTCCCACCCAGTACAGCCCTCTGGCTGCAAATACAGGACTTGGTGTTGATATTTGGGTAGCTGTTGTTATGGCCTATGCTTCTTGTAAAAGATGCTGTGAAAATGTTGATTTTTAGGCAGTCGGCTGAACTGAACAAACTGCGCCAGGATTATGCTAGGCTGATGAACGAGCTGGGAGAGAAGAGCAATAAGCTGCAGCAAGAGGAGCTCCAGAAGAAGAACGCAGAGCAGGCAGTTGCTCAGCTAAAGGTGACTCGGGTTTTCTCTGCCTGTCGAGTTGCGCTTAAGGCTTTATCTGAGCCAAGTTCTGAATCGGGCGGGATGTGAGCTGTGTGAGAATCGCTTTAGCTGTTTCCCTGGCCACTAAATCTCTCTGTTGTCTTCATATGTGCCAGTATCTATTGTCAGATAGGCTGAGCCAGCCTATGGATTTATTTAATGTTTTTATTCAGTACTCTGGGTTTTGAGTGATTACAAACCTCCCTATGAAGTGAAACTTACCCTTCCAGGTAAATATCCTTAAAAAGCTTAACTGGGGATGTTGAACTTTGCTTTCTGTAAGCGTACAATTCCAGCAAGATTTGATACTTTGGAGTCGTTCATCCAGATGGCATTGTCCTTGTGTGACTTTTATTTGAAACTACATGCTTTTGCTTAAATGTATATTTAAATTTTAAAATAAATATACTTTTTTAAGATTTTAAATGTAAACGGGCTGGCTTCTGGATGCATGTCTTTCCTTTTCTTTGGAAGAAAAGGTCTTATGTATTTTTTTTTTTTTTTTTCAGAAGAGAAACCTGGTGGTTTTGGGTGAGAATGCCAATCTAGAGCTCATTACTTTTTTTTCATATTTGCAATTAAGTCTTAGTTACCAGAAGTTCTCCCTGTCTCTAGCCCTTGCAGGTGGAGAGTTGATACCTAGAGTTGAGACATGTTTTAATTACTAGATGCAGATTTATGTGATGCATGGCTAGTCTGGTTTCTAATGTTAATTCTGAACTTGCAGGGCAAAGATGCTACACTTTCATATTACAGAAACCATCCTGTTAAGAGCCTATAATGAAATCCTGTTCACAATTTGCCTTTCAAATTAATAGGCTAAACTACTTTAGGAGGAGGATTACAGGGCACTCTGTCTCTCTGATGTGCCCTAATGGAAACAAGAAACAATTTTACTTCATTGCCATATGTTCTGGGAATAGCACTGAAGAGATGCACTCTGAATGTTTCAAAAATAAATTAAAGGTTCGACTTCTTTTCATCAACTCTCTCTTCAATGTAAGGTCCAGCAGCAGGAAGCAGAGAGAAGATGGGAAGAAATCCAGGCTTATCTCAGGAAAAGAACAGCAGAACACGAGGCAGCACAACAAGGCATGTATCACAAAACTCCTAATTAATGCTCCCTGCAGTAATTTGGCTGTTGCCATTTGTAAAAAAAGGGCATTATTGAGTCAATGGCTTAAATAAAGCTCAGGTGAAGTCAGTACTGCTTCAGCACCCTGGGGAAATAGTATGTTGTGATACCAGTTAGTTTGAATGCTGATGAGAGAGCTGAACCTTGGCTTGCTGGAAAGAGGCTTCTAATCAGCCTCCCTGTTTACAGTGAAAGTTATTTCCCCCAGAGTTAAATACTTCTGAATTAAAATCCTGACGTTTCTGCTGCAGATGTGCAGAATAAGCTTGTGGCCAAAGACAATGAAATCCAGAGCTTGCACAGTAAACTTACTGATACAATGGTGTCAAAACAGCAGCTGGAGCAGAGGATGTTGCAGTTAATAGAGGCTGAGCAAAAGAGAGCTACTGCGGAGGACTCCATGCAAATGCAGGTGCAGGTAGTATTGCTCACGTACCTTAAGGGTTTGGTTTCTTCCTTCCACTTTCTGCCTATGGAAACACAGTAATATCCTTGAAATGCTGCTTTAGTAAAGCTTTTCCACTGAATAAAGAATGAGAAAACTGTGTGCCAGTCTATTATCCGGCAACTTATGAGGGGAGACCTTGGGTGTGGTGCTGTGAGGAGGTCTGGGGCCATCTCAGACCGGAGAAGCGCTCCAGGCAAGTCAGGAAAACGTGCTGACCCAGGCAATTTCCCAAGCTGTGAAATGACGCCATGGGCTGGGGAACACCCTGGAAGAGCAGCCACGTACCTTTGATGTTTGTGTGAGCTCTTCTGGAGTGATCTCTCTTCTCCTGGCGCCAAGTGGTGGGGGGCAGTGTGGACATAGCTCTTGAGGGCTTCAGGGAAACCAAATGGCACACGGTGGGGCAGGGACTATTTTTCTCTTGGTTCAGAACAGGTTCTTATGCTTCCACTCAAACTGGTTGATCTTAGTGGTGAGAAAAATAGCATCTTTGAGAAGTGTCTGACATGTAAACGCTAAACTGTTCTTACTAACATAATCATGGCTAAGAGCTAATCCTAGCAAAAGTTGACTAGCTGCAGATCTCAGCCTGCTTTTCTTTCTGTGCTCTCTTACAAGGAGCTGATAGAGCAGAATGATGCTTTGAATGCTCAGCTTCAGAAGTTTCATTCACAAATCGCAGCCCAGGTACAGCATGTTCTCAGACTTTCTTTTGTAGTCATGAATTGTGAACTTTCATTAAAAGTCAGATTTTTTTTTTTTTTGTAGCTGGATATGAGATACATAATGCTGAAAACAAAGACTTGTTAGCAGCCTCCTTTTCTAATGTTTCTCAAACTGGTTTAAAACTTAAGCTTCTGCTCTCCTTTTGGGGGGAAAAATCCACTTATTTCCTCCTGTAGTAGCTTTCGTTTATAACCAAAGGGTAGAGTACCTTTTTGAATGTTTTCTTTCTGTATCTTTGCATGTGTACAATTCTGTCTTGTGGTTCTTTGGTCTTTTTGCAGTCCTCGTGTGAACCACCTGATCATGCTTTTCCCTTGTGCATCAAGTTGAGAAACAGTGTCTTATGGTAGCTCCCACATAAAGCTGTTTTGTTCATTCCAGTGGTGACTTCTGTGCAGAAAACAAACAAAACCCCACCAAACCTGCACAATACCTTTCTCAATTCTTTTAATCTCTAAAATTTTAGTTTGACTAGTTTCTTTGAGAAATGATTTCTGTTGTACACACTATGTAAAACCTCAGTCGCTGCAGTTGCTTCCATGTAGAGGTAGGTCACAGAAATTATCTCAGAAAGGCTGTAACTTCTGTGGGCACAAGTGGAGACTGTTCCTATGCAGTTGGGTGCTGTGTTCTTTTAATCATGGATGTGCTTGATGTAGTTTGATTAAATTCAACATCAGACTGAAAATGTGTCATCTGGCTTTGTTTGAAGAGCTTGGTGCTTTAACCCTTTGGGTGGGGAGAGTAGCAAAGGAAGAGGCACTCTGGATTTATTTTTATCTTCATGACCTACTCCTCTTATCCCAGCCCTTTAAAAGGGCTTTGGAAACAAATCCCTAGGGAAATTTTAGGTTTTTGCTCTGGGTTACACAAGGAGGCTGTTGAAAGGAGGTGTGTGCTTTCCCCATGGAGCCCTACTGGCCATGAAAATGCAGGGCCATTTTTCCACTGTGGACAGTGGGGGTGAAAATAGCACTTTGGGGAAGCGAGGTTGGACTGGATAGGGTTGATGAAACTGCTTTGGTCATGAAGGAGACCCTCAGGGACTGGAACTATTTGTTCCCTTTCATTTTTTTTTTTCTTCCCTCTGATGCTGTTCTCCATGGTATGATCCAGATAAGGCAGTATAGGAATTGCTGTAGGGTCCCATGGGCATAGGCTCTGCGAGATCCAGGATTTTGGGGGAGGGTAAGGCTGGATAAGGAGAACCATGCATCTGAAGCACAAATGAACGTGGAAGTTCTGCCACAGCTGCTGCCAAACTGGATGTGGAACAGTCCGCAGAGGTCCCTCGATGTCTTGATAACCAGTATGATGGGCCTCTCCTTCCCTGTTGTGGGCAACCACATAGGAACAGGCTTTTTCCAAGGGGTAAAAATGCCACTTGCTGGTTTTATGCTGCCATTTCTGTTCCTAACATGAGTCCTGATGCACTGTGTGGGGTGTTCTTTCAGTTCAAGTGGTTTGTCAGCAGAATGTCCTGTAAAGCACTTAGTCCTTGGGAGACAAGTGCTGGTGATCCCCGTGGCTTGTTTGAATCTGGTGAAGGGCAAATAAGATGGTTCATTTTTTCCTTTCATGTTACCTTAGGCCAAAGGGAAAGGGGCATTAGTATGTGCTGGTGTTTCTTCAGTGTTCCTTAGCCAGGAAATAGTTGGAATCGTCCTGTGCCAGTTTAAAATAACTAGACAAATCCTACAAATGCTATTCCTGGCTCACTGTAGATGATGATTCTTTGACTTGCTTTACTTTCAGCTGTTTTGTTTTTTTTTTTTTTTTTGTTTTTTTTTTTTTTTGTTTTTTTTTTTTTTTGTTTTTTTTTTTTTTTGTTTTTTTTTTTTTTTGTTTTTTTTTTTTTTTGTTTTTTTTTTTTTTTGTTTTTTTTTTTTTTTGTTTTTTTTTTTTTTTGTTTTTTTTTTTTTTTGTTTTTTTTTTTTTTTGTTTTTTTTTTTTTTTGTTTTTTTTTTTTTTTGTTTTTTTTTTTTTTTGTTTTTTTTTTTTTTTTTCTTTTTGCAGACCTCAGCTTCAGTCCTGGCAGAAGAACTTCAGAAAGTGTGAGTGTTCGTTTCCTCTGGTATTTGGGAGGTGTTAGTGGCTTTTAATGCGTGCCACCGTTCCTCCGCGCACGTGCAATGCATACGGGAGGGACTGCTGAAGGAAATGTTGCTGTGTATGCTTTTAACTTCTCGCTGTGAGATTGACTTGGGAGCCGGGAAACCGCTTCCTGCGGATTTCCCTTCCGTGTCTGGCCTCAGGTTTGGAGTCCGTTGTATGTGGCTCTATACGCTACACGGAAAGCGGTGTCTCCTCTCTTGTTTACAGCTGCCTCTGTGCAGGGATCAGTGCAATGTGCAGGAATGTGCATGACCATGAGAATTGTTAATATTTGGGCTGTATGGCTGTGCCAGGAGATTTCTCCCTTTGGGAGACAGTATAGTTGTGTTTCAGAGCTTGAGAATGTCCCATAAATTTTTGGCAAGCAAACGGTATTTAAAACGGATGGAAAAGCTTTTGGACCCAAAGTGTACTGTCAGCAAGATTTAGATTAGGAGCTGGACTTCAGGGCCAGCATGTATCTTGTGTTTAGCCTGATGCTTTGTGTACCACTTTCATCCAAGACCTTTTAGTACTGATAATGTCATCATTTCTCATTTTGTGCAGGATTGCGGAAAAGGACAAACAGATAAAGCAGATGGAGGACTCATTAGGCAATGAACATGCCAACTTAACCAGCAAGGAGGAAGAGCTCAAGGTATAATAAAAGCATGTGTAAATGCCAGCTGGTACGGGGAGAGGCTCATTGGCTGCGCATACAAAATGAAGGCCTTTGGGCCTAGAACCGGCTCTTTCAGCTACAGGTCTGCTGATTTTGCTCTTCTAGGCAAGGCCAATGCTTCCCAACTGGGAAGCAGTTGATAAGAAAGCTTGGGTTTTTTCCTTGCTATTACCTCTAGACTCCTTCAAAAAATGACCTGAAATACTTTGCACTGGAGAGTGAACTTAACTGAAATACTGTCTCTATGCAAAGTGCAAATTATTTCTTTTTCTCCTTCCTTCAGGTCTTACAGAATATGAACCTATCCCTGAAATCAGAAGTACAAAAGTTACAGGCTCTGACAAATGAACAGGTAAAATAATTGTTTCATTAAATATTCAATTTTACTCTCTTCCCACTACCTATTCTGGCATAAATGCAAATGCGGATCCGTTGGCTTTAAGGATGTTAAAGGTGTGAGGCTACAGAGTCGGGCTAATACATGATTCCCTGGGGTTCTTGCAGCTGGTGGGAGGCCTACTTCTTGCCCTTCCTTCACCAGCAAAATCTGTTTCTTACTTGGCTGTCGAAGTTGCTGAAGCAATTTGCTTGGTTGGTTTAGATTTGCAGGCATGCGGAGTGCAGGACACTTCACAGGAGTGAACACAACTGTGCTCAAATATGCAGTCCTGGTGTTTGCATGCAAGGGTCATAAGCACCCCTCTAAAAAACCCAAACGCACCCAAAACCTCCCGCCTCAACAGAGATATCTTTTTAGAACAAAACACAATGCTTTCCCTCTGTTCCTGTTATGTGGCCTGTTCGTTACAGAGGTAGAAGTGCAGTGTTTAATTAGAGATAATCCTGGTTGTCAAATGAATCTTTTTGAGATCTTCTTCCCTTTGTGTAATTGCACGCTTGCCTGGTAGATATTGGTGTTTTAAAAGTGCATGAAGACAAGCTTACCGCTTTCACTCTTGCTGGCGAGTCGTGTGCTGAGAGGCCAAATGACTTGTTCCAGCTTTTTAATATTGTGGAATGAAAGACTGATTGAATCATGTGATGTATCCTAAGTCTGCGTTAATCCTCTTTATATCTAGGCTGCTGCTGCACATGAGCTGGAAAGGATGCAGAAAAGGTAAATAGCTCTGGGACTGATAAACAATGTTTGTCAGTCTTTTATGTTCTTTTGAATCGATGCTTTTTGTAAGACTTGGATGAGGAAATGTATTTAATTGTTCTGCTGTGTCTCAGCATTCACATCAAAGATGACAAAATAAGAACTCTTGAAGATCAGCTTCGAGAAGAACTTGCTCAGATTTCAAACACAAAAGAAGAATGCAAGGTAAGGTACAGAATAGCTGTTCTTGTGCTTATTTACAGTAAGTTTTCCAGACTTTGGAGGTTGTGGAGCAGTTCATACAATTGAATGTTGATTTGTAAAATAAAACTGACTTTCAGCTGTTAAGGTAAATGACAGTATTCTGTTCGCAAGGCAAGAGCGATGTGGGATGTCACAGTAGTAGCAACAGACTGCAGCAGAGTAAGAGGTGGGGTAACACAAGTTAAATGTGGTGTCTGCAGTTGTGAAGTGAGGTCTTTGAAATCTGGAAGAGGAGGTTGTTCAGTAAAAGCTATTGCGGTTTCTCTGCATTCCACCTTCTAATGTGACTTCCAAGGCCTTGGTGTGAGCCTTTGTTGCTTGGGTTATCATGCTGTCAGGTTTTTTCTTTTTTTTCCTGTCAAAATAGGTGTAAAAATGCTTATTTTTCTCCTGCCATCTTCCAAATTGTTTCTCATAAGGCTGCAGCTAAATTGCGGAAGCTTTTAGTGCTGACATCTGGGGTGTGCACAGCAGAGCTGATGCTTGTTTCTAGATGGTGCATGCAGAGACCAACTTAACTCCTCCTTGCCCTCTGCCACCGTAGGCTTGTTCTTCTGACCTTTAACTGTTAGAAATAGACCTGCTTCTTGAGAAAGGTGATGACTCCATCTTTTTAACTCCTTTAAAGCCCCTCTTGGGTAGTGCTGCTTTCCTGATGCTTCTGGTGAAAGGTGACTCGGTCTGAATCTCATAATGTCAAGTTGGTAGGTTTGCTGGTGAGGAGCAGAGCAGGCGGGTAGCGGCAGAGGCAGCATGGCTTGTGTAGGGGCAGCCATGCCTCGTGAGTCTCCTGGAGCTCTTTGAAGGTGTTAGCAAGCAGGTAGTACACCTGGGTCATGTATTAAAGTGGCACTTTGAAAGTGTTTTGGTGAGAGACCCTTGCAAGGCCCTGTTAGTTTCTCTAAGCTGTCAGAGAGTAAGAGGGAAGAAGCTTGCTCAATTAATACAATGAGAAACAAAGTACAACTTTAGATAGCTTTATTAGGAAAATCAACTATCAACTGAATTTTCAGTGAAGCGTGTTCTGGGTAACGGGTACGTAAACGATCTGGAAAGGGGTGGCGGGCTTGAGTAAGTCATTGACTTTCAAGTTAGTGACAGTCTCGGGGCTTTCAGGATGGTGGAATGTGGTAGCTGAAGTGGTGAAAATGAATACAAGGAGGAGTAATCTGCACTTCCTTAGAGTGGTGGTTTCTGTATAACTGTTACCCAGGAAAAAGGCTTTAGAGGTGTTGTGGGTGGTTATGTGCTGAAATCAACTCCGTGCTAAGTAATGGCAGAAATCAGCTGGAGGCAATCCTAGCAGTTCTTGGGAAGTAAATAGGCAACTGAACGCAGATCGTCATGTGGAAATTCACAGCGTGCTCTCAGCACCGATATTATGTGCCCTACTGGGCTCTTCTTCCTCCTGTCTTTGATGCCAAACGTAAGCCAGACCAGCTCTGCACTAAGTGCTTCCACCTGAGGAAGCGCTCCTTTTTTCCCATGCACATGAAAGAGAGAAAAGCCAGGTTCAAAACAGAGGAATTCTTTTAATGTTCACCATTGCTGTCCCTTCTTGCTTGTGTTGTCCCTGTAAGGCTTTGGGTCTGAAGCATAGGTCATGTGTCCTGCTTTTTACTTTTGTAAAGCACGTAGCAATTCTTTTTAAAGACTTTGTAAAACAAAAAGCAGTAATAGAGGAGGATTTTAAAACATATATGAGGAATCCAGACAGGCAGCCTGTCTGTAAAGGGCTGCTGTGGGAACACTGAAGGGAAGGCAAGGTCTGTGGTATGGTTGTTTGTCTTCCCGATGCGCCTCTGTCCAGCCTGCAGTCAGACCAAAGCGTTGGGAGCTGTGCAGACCTCTCTGCTGCTGGATTGCTGGTTCCTTGCTGTGCATCCTCAGCGTAAAGGCAGCTGAAGAGAACTGGAGAGGTGATCCTAGACCATTTGCTTCACCAGATGAGTGTTTTGTAAGAGGCAGCTATCAAATCTTGACATGATGCTGATACTGCTTTAGGAGGAAAATGCAGTTTCTCTTGCCTCTCACACTTGGTACTGTCTGATCCTCTGCCAGGGAATAAAGATGGTAACAGCTGAGTTTCTCATGGGAACATAAGGACAAAAGTATTAATACAGAAAAGCAAGAAAGAAGGGGAAAGGATCTTTGTAGTTTTGTAGCTTCCAAAGAACTCACTGTAACGACTTCTGTGCTATTTAATTACCTCATTGCCAAAATAAAAATGCTGTCGTTAGGGTTTGCAGTTCTGAACTGATAGAATGTTTAAATTTCCTTCCAGGTTCTCAAGGATCAAAACACAGCTCTGCAAGCTGAAGTTCAGAAGCTGCAGACTCTCCTGTCTGAGCAGGTATAGCCAGTGTTTGCTGAGGTTGTATCAAATATCTTCTGTTCTTTTTAAATTCAGTATTTTTTTTTTTTCTTAAGCTGGCCCTAGGCTGAGCTGGTTGGTGTCAAAGCCTGTTGCTTTTTAGGTATTTTCTCTTCTATGGATGGTTCAAGTAAGGCAGTTGTGGCTGCCTTCTAGACCTAGTCAAGAGTGTGCAAACAAAATGTTGAGTTTCTCCGAAACCCCCGAAGAATGCTAGCTTAACACAAGCAAAAACTTATTTCTGCAACTCCTCCAGTTTTAATGGGAATTTTCTGGAATAAAAAGAAATCCCATGAGCAAGCAGCCCTTCCAGCGGAGAGGGCTCTTACTGGGCTGTGGGGAGACCAGAGTAAGATCTTTGCTCTACTTGCTTTCTTCCATCCTGGAATGAATTCTCAAACCAGTAGTAACCAAAGAACAGGCTCATGGAATGGAAAAACTGTTTACATCACGATGGCTTTTTGTCCCTCCTCTTCTGTATGTTTACCCATGGCACACTGGCTGCAGCCAGTCGGACTGGTACTCGCGCAGGATGCTGCAGGTTCAAAGCCGTTGTGTCGCTCAGCCCTGTCTCCTTTGCGAGTGTTGCCTGGCAGAGCTCTTGTGAACACCCCTGACTCTGTACCATTGTGGAATGAGAAAACTTCCTGAAACACTGGAAAAAGACCTGCAGGACAGGAAACTTATTTCCTCTTCTGCACTGGTGTCTGCTAGCCAGCAGCTCCCTGTCTGGAGCGGCTCCCTTTCTTCTGGCGGAGAACTAGATTTGCAGCTTTATTCCCCTGGGTCTGGCTGATTTGGTGTCCTGTCTGAAATAGTGGGGCTGATTTTTCTTGGTAGCTGGCTTACGTTTCTCATGTGGTCAATGTGGTGGTGTTGTGAAATCATAAATGCTCTGCTGAGTGAGCTTCAGGTGGGACTTGTGGTTTTGATAAACGCTCAAAAGAGGCAGATTTTCCAGGTACTGAGCTGGCTGCTATGGATTAGATACCACACAGTGCTTGGTATGCTTGACACTCCCTAGGATCACTGGGATCCTGTGTCCCACAGCATCTTGTTGCCAGAACTCCTGTAGTCCATCAGTGTAAAATCACCAAGGCACTTGGCTGGATCTGTACCTCCCTGAAAGACTGGCTTCTTTCCAGCATCAATATTAGACACACATGCCATGAGGACATTCTGCCCCTATTTTATTTTCCCTTCTGGATTAGTGTGGTAGCTAAGGTTCTGGTTAAGTTGATGCTCTCCAGCTACTTTTGTTTTTAAAATCCCAAACCATTATTGATCCAATTAATGATCACCCTATTGTGTTTTTTATAGGCAAACAAAGACTTGTTAGAGCAGATGGAAAGAAGGTAAGAAACTTTTTTTTCTTTGGAATCAGAGGCTAAAATAAAGATCCAGTTTTGCTGGCAGCAGGGTTACTGTTGATAGCTAAACTGCTGTCAAAGGTTAACACTCTTTTTCCTAATAATCACTTCTGATTTCTCAGCATGAGAGAACGGGATGATAAACTCAAGACAGTTGAAGAGCTGCTCGAGGCAGGACTCATACAGGTGGCTAATAAAGAGGAGGAGCTGAAGGTAAAATCTCTCATATTATCTTTTTATGGGGAAGTAGAGATTAAGTGCTCTTGTGCAAAGTGTATGTTTGAGTGCTCATGGAGCAGTCTGAGATCATTCCCTTTGAATAGGAAAAGCATCTCGTGAAGACAAGGTTAAAACCCTTTTGGTGAGTGAGCATTGATGGTGCACAGTAAGTGCTTCTCTCCACTTAGTCTAGAGCAGATTTTGCTAGGATGTTTACCTGGTGTCTTTTGGAATAAAGTGAATACATTGAATACATCTCCAGAGCTGTATGTTTGGCCTACTCCGCAACAAATCTCCCTTTAGGAAGGGGGATTTTGTTAAACCTTGGCAGTATGGGGTGCTTGCATCTTATTGCCTAGTTGGTAATCTGAAGGGTTAAATGGATCATAAACCTGTGACACTTCTGGGGTGATACTAAAGGTACTTCTTTCCTGTTCTGTTTATAAAGAAGCTAATGACGAGAAATCTGGGAAGTCGGCACAAAAATCCCTATCTGTTTTCAGCTGGGTTTTGCTGGAAAGCTGTCTCCTGTCTATCTGGACATAGCCAAGACAATGCTCGCTTTCTTAATGTCCCTAAATTCCAGGTGCATTGCTGACACCCCTGTACTGGGGAGGGCTTGCGCACTCACAAACTGTCAGGTTGCTAAACAGCCAGAGATGTGAGCCCATCACCTTGATGTTTCCCTGGACTCTAGCTTCCAAGTCCACTGAGTTGTCTCTAATGAATAATTAGTCCATTGAATACTTTGGCTCCAAATGCTGCAGAGGGGGGATGTCTTTCAGACTTTCAAAGTTTTTCACTTGTTCTAAAAGAAAGTACTTTTCAGTCAAGCTTAACACTTTTTCCCCAACAAATGAGTCTTTCATTATCTGTCTGTCTGCTTTCAAAGGCACTGCGAACAGAAAATTCATCCTTGAGAAAAGAACTTCAAAGTCTGCAAATTCAGCAATCAGAGCAGGTAGTACTTTTCATCTAAAACTTTTATTACACCTAAACTAAATCTAAAAGAATCTTGCTGTGGTTGCAAAAGTCAATGGAAAAAGGTGAAGACGTCTTTGAAGGCGGTTGGCAAAGCATCCTGTTTTCTTTCAGCGTTGTTCTGGAAGCTGATACTTCTGTCAAATATGTCCTTTGCATAAGTGTCAAACGCGGCAGATGTAAAGGTCCCAATTCAGTGTTGATTCTGGGTTGGTTTGAGTTTGCCACGTGCTGAAATGGTTGTGGGTTGCCTTTTCTCCAGAAGCCTCGTGCAGCAAGCACGGCTGGTAGGAAGCTCATGCTGCATCAGCTTCGTTATGCGTGTTTGAGCTTTTTGATGTTAATCCGCACTTGTGCGGGTGTGGCTTAGCCCCCTTCCGTTTATGTCTCAGTGGCACTGTCACAGTATTACTGTTTTTGATGCACACTTGGTGCCGATCGGGAAGTGCTTTTCCTTGACATCCAGCTCTGCTTGGACAGTTCAGGAGAGCACTTAGTTTCTAGAAAATTATTTATGGGAGAGGAGAAGCGCAATAACTGGAGAGGTGTACAGTAGTGCCAGTATGAAGAGGTTAGCTGATCAGGTGCTGGTCCTGAACCTCAGCCTCTCCTGGTAAAGACGGTGTGGGTTTGCTGTTGTTTTCCTGGAACTTGCAGCAGGCTTGGCATTATTGGTTTGCTAGGAACTGGAGACCAATAGCTAATTTTCTCAGGAGCAGCCAGGTAGATAAAATTGTTAGGCTGCTACATAGTTTACCCAGTGCCAGAGAGCTCAAGCTCTCTACTCCTTACCCCTCAACACTTGCAGATTGTTTTGCTCTCTTCTGTTTTTCTAAGTTGAAGCTCTGTTTTGAACAGGTTTCCTTCCAATCACTGGTGGAAGAACTCCAGAAAGTGTAAGTTACCGCACAAATTTCATTTCCGATTTGTTACTTCTGTCTGCCCTTATTTCATGCCTACAAGTGTTTTGCTTCCCTGAAATGATTTGCTTTTAACTGGGTGAAGTGTGTGTCTGTGGCAGGAAGCATTATCACTTTGGAAACACATCAAGACAGATCAATACCTTTTTGAAAATCCAGTTGCTTCTCTGCTAAGCAATTAACTTCATAAGCCTAACTTTTGACTAGACGAGGGATTGCACTGAATTGTCAGCTAATTGTTTTTTCTTTAGTAGGACCTCTAAAAGGAGTGACCTTATTTGCTCTGTGTGTATTTGAAGTTGATAAATACTTTGCTGGAATGTCCAGTGAAGGCTGAAGTTGTGTGTGTCATTCCAGGGACTATCGATACCTTAATTTCCATTTTTAGACAGTAATAGCATCTATTTAGCATGTGAACTACTGGTTATATATATGCAGCTTGTTCTGCATTATTCCCACTCTTATTCCTCCTATTTGTTTCTTCTGCTTGTTCCATCTGGATTCGGGATTGCAGTGGGAGATGGCACCTGCAATAGTGGGAGATCCCACTGGGGATCCCAGAGGCTGGCGATGTGGTGTGATAGCAGAACCAAAGCTTGTGTATTTGCTCGAGTAGCGCGTTTGTTCGGCCAGCTGATGTTGTTCCTCTGCTCTTCTTAAGGATCCATGAGAAGGATGGAAAAATAAAATCGGTCGAAGAACTCCTACAAGCTGAGATCCTGAAGGTAGCAAGCAAGGAGAAGACTGTTCAGGTATCTCTCTACAATACCTACCTTCCTTTCTGTGTCTATGCCACTGACTACCATTTATTTGTTACTGCATGGCGTTCTAGAGTGATGATGAATTTGTAGCATCCATTTTTGTGTCGTTTTTGTGTTTCCATTGTCCAATCCTGTCTGTTTTGTCATTGAAAAGGCTTTGACACAGGAAATAGAGGCTCTGAAAGAAGAAGTAGGAAATTCCCAGCTTGAGATGGAAAAACAGGTAAAATACCTTAGTGCCAGAAGTGTGAAACAGCCTTGCCTTGGATGCACTGCTCACTCATTTCTGTTCTAGCGTGTGTTTTTTCACTGGTGAATGTTGTTGGGTAAGGGAACTTTTTAATGGTAGAGCTATGCTATTCTTGGATATAAAGCTGTAAATGTGTCACATAACTACTGCTGTCCTTCAGAAACCACATTTCTCTGGATGCCTGAGCGTTTTGGATTTTTAGTATGAAATTTGGCCAGAATTGCTATAACTTAAAGCATTGTAGCATTAGCTCTGGCTGGGCATACTGCGTACTGTCCCTTCAGTAAACGCAAAACCCTGGGACGTCGTTTGAGGCTGGCACCTTGGAAATCTCAAGTGCTGAAGGTGCTTCTTTTGTTGGCCTTTGTGTTGCTAGAACAACACTACTGGACCAAATAGTATTTGGTTTCCAGGTAAACTTAAGACTGTTTTCTTTCCAGTGTCCAAAGAAAGCCTGTCTTGCTAGAATCAGTTTTACTCTAGCTATCAGGAATGCAGAAATGGAGGAGTATTGGCTTTTTTGGCATGCTTGCTGTCTAGCATCCAAAACAACGGGAACCCACGTTTCCTTAGGGAGCCCATTCTGCAGGCAGCTTAATCCATCGTGCTGTCAGGAAGTTTGCTTGCTTGTTTGTGTGGGGTGTATGGGTTGTTTTTTTTGATCTGCACTTTTTTCAGTCTTTCTAGCTACATTCCAACACGTCACCCTCTTTTCTTCTTTCCTTAGTGTTAAAGTTTTGTCCTTTTTAGGCAAAGCTTCACAGAATGTATTTCGGTCTTGGGCTTTTCCTCCAAAGCAAATTCCCAGGAACTGGAGGAATTATTTGTGTGTTTTTTCCTTCCCCGGAACTGACACAGAGCCCAGAACAAAATGCAATTTAGAGTTGCTGTCTCTGGAAAGTTGCATGTGAGAGATGCTTGCTCCAAAGGTGGTGTATATGCAGCTTTTGGTATCCTGCAAGCAGAATAGAGGTTTTTGGGAATGTCTGGAACTCTTGTAGTGTTGTGGTAGAGGACTAAGCAAGCTGTTTGGACAGCCAGTATCTACACTGTCAGGCTTTTCTACAAAATTCAAAGGGAATATTCCCACTAAATCTTGTTTCTTCAATCCATGTTCAGCCTTAGAATGGGAATTTAAGGGAGTGCTGGCATTGCAGAGAGCATCTGAAAAGCACTTGCTGTGCAAAGGTCTAAATGACCAGGGATGATCTCTGACTTGAGCTGCAGTTGCCAGTGAGATGGTTGTCATCAGTGTCTGCTTCTTCCTTTTGTCTCTCGTGGCAGAAGGCTGCTCCGGTGGGCCTGCTTGTGTTCACATTTGCACTGTTTTCTTTTCTGCTCTGGAAGTCAAATTTTAAATGTGGAGAAAGTAAATAGTGGAGACACTTGGCTTCTCATAATTTATTTTCCCACAAAAAAAAAAGTGTTTATGCTTACATGACTGTAACAGTGCCTATTTTAGTAATGTCTAATGGCTTTTTTCCCATATTTCTCCCTAAAGCAGTTTATAGCATTTATGTCTCTTCCGTGTGCATTGAACTGAAGTACTTACTCTTTTCTTTAGGTGTCGATTACATCACAAGTCAAAGAACTTCAGACTCTGTAAGTACAGTTGTTAACACGGCTGATCTGCCCTGTGCACCACTTGCTTCCCCGCTCCAGCGTATTTTAAGTTAAAATGTTCTGCCTGGTGCCTGCGCTTTGCATGCAGTGAGCCAGGCTGTTAACACTGGTCTTGGTAGACGTGCGTCCTTACTAAATACCTGGTCCTGTCTGCGACAGCAAACCGGGTGAAGTGCTGCGTGGCTTCATGAGCCCTAGTGAACCTACAAGGGGTTAAATTCAAGTCAAGATGGAAGGACATAGGCAAGGTACTATGGCAGACTGACTTTGGCAATATCTGTGCTGTAGCTGGGTGTGTAAGTGAGAATTGAGTCACCATGGTCATCAGTCCCTTGTGTCCCCAACTGGGGAGGAGGGAAGGAAGTATTTTTAGATGAGGAGAGCACATGTATTTGAAATCCCTGCAGTATATGTCAGTGCAGAATTTGGCTGCTTTCACTTAATGAGTGGTACCATTGATCAAGGGCATCTCCTGCTAACCCAGACTGAAGTGGAAGTGTTCACACATTGATTTTTAGCAGATGAATTGTGTTTGTGCCTTTGATCACATAGACTGCTTTTGTTTGTTATGTGCTGCAAAGCATAGAATGTCTTTTTTTTTTTTTCAGACGGATAAAAGAGCAAAGGTTTATGCTGTGTGTCTGTGTTTAATGGTACAGGTTGAAGGGGAAGGAAAAGCAGGTGAAAACCATGGAGGCCTTATTGGAAGAGAAGGAGAAGGAGATTGTTAAGAAAGGAGAATGGCTGCAGGTAAGCTTCCTTGGTATTCTAAAGGGAAATAAACTCTGCTGCAGTATTTCTGGCTGTGGAAAAGGTACATTTACATTTGTAAACTTGCTTTTTTTTTTTCCCCCCCCAAAGGGTCAGAAAGATACAATTGCACAATTAACCAGTAAAGTTCAGGATTTAGAACAACAGAACCTGCAACAGCTCCAACAGGTATGGCCTGCAGAGTGGATGTGGTTTGGGAGTGCTGCTCGATTGAAGTGGAAGATGTTGGTTTTGTCCTCTACCTCTCACAGAGGGTTTGCATTGACTTCAACCTACAGAGCTGTTTTAAATCCTACTTGACGAAACTGCTAGTCTACAGTGCAGAGAGCCCGCTGGTTAACTGTGTTCATCCAAAACAGGTTTTACATGGATAACAAGTTCTGAGAGCTTTTTTTTTAACCTGGACGATAACTATGTATAATGAGAAGCTTTGGTGGTCTGAAAACTTGGAAGCTCATAGACAAGAATCATAGCTGTGTCGTAGGTACCTCCTTTCCAGACTCAAGTAGTGTCTCTGTATGGCTATGGTCATGGAGGAACTCCTGCTGTAACCGAACATAGCAGCTCCTCTTGAAGTGGTCAGGCTTTTCTCTGATTCCTTCCTGCGTTTACCTGTTGCAGAAGTTGCAACTGGCTGGAGTATTTTGGCTTTTGATTTCCTGCACTGGACTTGAACAGGCAACTGGACATCCTTGAAGCCAGGTGTTACTTAATGGAAGAATTTTTCCACTAAGGTGGTATTTCGAGCTCAGTTTGGATTTTTGTCGATGATAAATGGCAGAAACTGAGTTGCACTCTTATTTTGGGTGAATGTCTGGACAGGCATTTATCCCAGGGGAAAGGTGGAATGGAGAGAAATTGGCTGGTGTGAAGTTAGGGATGCTTGGTGTAAGCTGTGCTTCTGAAATCCATTATGCGTTCAGGTATTCCTGGAGCAATGTCTGATGCAAAATTTCTGGTGTTACTTTGGCAAGTATCTTGCAAGCTGTGTGGTGCCCCTCCTCATGCAAAGAGTTGCTGTTAATTCGAAAGCTTTACTGTGCCATCAAAATCAAGTTGGGAATTGCTTTGTTTTTCAGGTACCTGCTGCATCGCAAGTCCAGGACTTGGAGAGCCTGTGAGTATGCTTAGTAGCAGTTTCTTAAGCCCCTGCTGATAATGTGCATTCAGTGCTGGCGTTTATCTTAAATTGGAATGTATGAATTGGTTTCAAGAATTTTATGGGCTTTGCTAAAATAAGCTGTTAGTGCCAATGGACATACACGGGCCAGCGTGTCTGCTGCCGTGTGTAACAGCACGCGTCTGGCGTCCCTGCCTGGCGTGCCGAAGTGGTAGTGCTCATACGCTTTGCGAAAGTGAATGATCGCCCAGGGCTCTACTAACTAGTGAAATTGCTGCTACTGCTTGTGTCTAGTGATAATTTCTCCTTCTGTTTAGCATGTTTAAAAGAGTGTGGATTTAAGTGCCTGTGGCTGAGTCGGTAAAAGCAATGAACAGATACAATTTGCCATTTTCAGTCTGAGATGCAATAGCCAATTCTCCAGCTCCTGTTTTATGGAGAAACGCTGCCAGACTTTCCTCTGTTTTGACTCTGCTTTGTCTGGCTGCTCGAAGTCAGAGGAAAGTTGTATGAGACCATGCCAAAAAGGGCTCCTTCTTCAATGTAATGTGCTGCCCTCCCAGCAGGGCTCCTGTATCGCCAGTACTGGTACCTAAGGCAGCCTCACCACTGGGAGACTGTCCCTGGCACCTTCAGAGCCAGCTGGCTTGCAGGATTTGCTCAGGTGATCAGTTGCTTCTCTCCCACTTGGGCTCTGAATGCTGTTGAGATCAGCTATGACTAAATGCCTTTGCTGATTGACATGTGAAATGATTAGCTTGCTTCAGGCCAGTTCTTAGCAGGTAAGCATTTGCAATACATGTTGTTGCAGCTGGCATGTATTTTTGTTAGCTGTCTTGGTTTGGAGCCATAGTGAAATAGTTTTTTTTCTCCGTGTGTGTGTGCTCTCCATTTGGCTGATTATGATACATAACATAGAAAATACATTTATCTTCCGCTGCTGAAAGCTGTCCCAGCTAGAGTGCCTGTCCCTTTTTAGCATAAATTATTGCTTTAACCCTTTTTTTTTTTTTCTTACTTTCTAAACCATCTCTGCAGGTTGAAAAAGGAAGAAGAACAAATGAAGAAGTTGAAAGCTGTAGTGGAAGAAAAAGAGAGAGAAATTGCAAGCCAAGTAAAACAGTTGCAGGTAAAGTTTTGATAGAAGTGTCTTGTGTTGTAAGGAGTGAGTGTATATCTATATGTATACATGCGTATATATTGCCTCTTTTCTTTCAACAGGATGTGCGAAAGGAAAATGAATCTTTTAAAGTTCAAATTCAAGAATTAAAGCAGGAGAATTGCAAACAGGTACGGCTTCCAATTGCAGTGTTACTGAGTGAAGTCAGAGGGGGTGGTGGTAGCAGCTTGTGTGGATGGCACGGAAAACCAGTAGTTGTACTGGCCATGCAAATCCAGGGACAGCTTCAGGGTTGGATTGCACTAAGCCAGCTTTTCTGGCTGTTGCATATCTGTTCCTACTTCTCTTTATCATGTGAGTTTGCAGCCTTGCGCTCTTTCTTATGCCTGCTGTGCTCTTGTCTGGCTTTCCACCCCTGTCTTTACATGCTGTATCACAGTCAGGGTTCTTCTGGCCAAAGGAGGCTGGACAGGACTCCCTCGAAGGCCATGAGTGCAGCTGCTTAGCGGTGCAGCGACGCCTGGTTAATAAGGCAGATCACGCCCTCTGCATCACTCTCTGCTGGTGATCTGCTCCTAATGAGTTTCTGATCTGTTTGTAGGCATCTCTGGCTGTCCAAAGTGAGGAGCTTCTGCAAGTGTGAGTACTGCCAAAAGTTGAATGCAATAGATAAGCGCTTCATTTCACTTATTGCTCAGGAAATTTAAAAGATGAAATACATGCCAAATGTACAATATCAGTGCGTGAGAAGTGGCCAGTAAAAAAAAACACTTTACTGTCTAATAAAAGTCGAACATAGAGATTCTGCTCACGCTAATAATCCTCAGCTGCAGTCTTCTGCAGACAGCGCTTGCAGTATGTTGTGCCCATAATGTAAGCAAGCCATGATTGATTTAATTTTAAATGCATGCCAGCTCAGCTCTATGTCTGAAGAGTTAAATGTTGGTATTTCAAGCACAAATGACAGGCTTTTTTCTTGGAACCTCAGCTTAGTAGAGGGTTGTTGTTCGTATTATAAAATCATCTGGTAGAAATCTTTTCCCAGGGAAAGTCTCGGGGTAAAAGTGTGGTATAACGTAGAGCTGAAGTGCACTGAAGAACTGTGTGGAAGCTAACTCCATACCGGCTTATACTGTGCTACACAAATTGCCGTTGTCATGCATTTTTGGCTGGCTGAATTATTTTTCTTTTAAGTTAAATGACTTATAAATTGTGGACTAGGTGCTTGAAAAAGAATGCTCTTATCCAGCAGGCAGTGCCTGTTTTGTGGCGTACTAGCGTGGGCTGGCTGACTTATCCTCGCCTAATGCGCTGCCTTTCTGTGGCCTTATAAATGCGCGCAGATGCCTGTTGTAGGCAAACAACAGCTTTACAATGGGCTTTGCTCTGGCAGCCCGCGGTTCACGGAGCAGTAGGAAGCAAGCTGTACTGCCAAGTCAGTGAGAGCAGCTTTTCAAAGAGAGCGTGTTGCTGGCAGGGGAGAGGAAAGTTAGTGTATATGAAAGGGTGTCAGTGCTTCACTTGAAATTTCTTAAATGTCTCCTGACTTGTTTATGATTCTTTTTCTTACTTCAGGGTTGCAGGGAAAGA